AAAAGATTGCGTGAAGAATTGATGCCAAAGCATTTGTTACAACTCGATCAACAACCACAAGCAAATTCAACACATGTTGTACTGTGATAGTGAGGTATCGTTTTGTAGAATCCTAGCCGCCGTGGAAAGTCGTAGCACACAAGCAGGTGTTTATTTACGCCGAACGTCGTTATCATACGAAGAGCAAGGGGCAGGGTATGCCGTGAGGACTAGGTTGACTTTAGGAAACCTAACTACCAACCGAGTGGAGACGGAAAATAGGCACCTCAAGACAGGCTTGACTCCTCGGTCTTCATTAGTGGATGTATTTAAAAAAAGTGCTACGAAAAGTAAGGTCACTGGAAGTGACGCATGGAATTAGCCTCGCTGAAGATTCCATGAGGATATATCCGACTCACAGCGGCATGCAGTCCTTCAAACAGTTTCTCATACGAGTAACACCATTTGCGCGGAATATATTATTAAGTAACTGAAGGTCACTTAATCTTGGACAAATTGTTCACGAGAGAGGGTTCTTCATGGTTGTGGATAGTAAGAGCAAGGGTTATAAGAACCAATAATTTACCAGTAGCGGTTCGATAGAAAAACGGAAACCAGTTTTAGTGAGTGGAGTAGTCGACTCTGAGGACGACGAAATAGTCCTAGGTGACCCACTGGAACATGCTGTGTTCCAAAGACTGACAACAACGACATCAGCAAAGTACGAACTAGACGCTAACCGCAGAAGGCAAACTAATCCGGCATTAACGATGAAAGCTAACTGTTGCAGTGTCTGGAATACGGTCGATTTACCGATCAGCAACAATGGATCCAGTGCCAGAAATGCCGGCGACAAACACATAGCGGTTGCGCTGCTTACATTGGAAAGGAAGCAGACGTTTGAGTGCATTGCCCCAATCGATGAGCGGGAACGTCAAAAGGCCAAAGAAACGGAAAACGGCCCTTTTACGGCCGCGCCAAATTGATTTATTTGTCTTTGAGTTATTAATTCTATTCAGGGACCAAGGTATTGGACTAGATTCAACCTGAGTCCGGGCGTTACTTACCTCCTTGTGAAGGCTATTCCANTTCCAAGGTGGAATGATCCAGCGGGCGGAAGCGAATTGGCGGATTAGTGCACGGCCACGCGGTTTGATGATTTTCATGTTATGTCCGCGAAGTTTGTCCATAGTACTGCGGACGAAGTAGTCACACCCTGTCGTGAAAGTTAGTTTTATTTCGTATTTAGAATAGCTTTTGACAGTTGTATGAAAGGTGCAGTTCTTATCGATGGAGTTTAGCTCGTTTTAAAATTTCACTATGGGACACAAAAAGTTAGTTTTACTTCGTATTCGTCGATGATCTTAGGCTGAAAGATTCAGAATAGTATTCAGAATAGCCTTTGACAGTTATACGGAAGGTGAAGTTCTTATAGATTTAGTGTGGGTATATTTCCATACCGGGAATTCGTTTATACACATTAACCAATAATTATTTTTTATGTAAAATAAATTCCCCTTTACTTTTTTTGGTTGTCGGCTGCCGTATGGAAACTAACATTCTTTAATAAGCGAAATAATTTTCCTGTGACAGAGGTCTCTAGTTGGGATTTTTTCATGGCTTGGATAATGAGGATTGATCAAATGACCTTGAAATTTTGAATAAAGCCGCGTTTGGATGCTCCGCGCTTACCTGCTATCGTTGGTCTCTAGTTTATACGACCCGCTTGGATTAGTCTCACCGCGGCTGTTGTCGGGGAAGATTATCTTATAACGACTATGTAGAAAAAAGCAGGAGTGGGATCAACCCTTGGACGAGCTGGACCATGCAGATTGAGTTGATAGAAGCCAAAAAAGTGATACTGATGGCGGAGCGAGTCATCACGCCCCCCTGCTGAGGAAACTGCAATGCTACTCGTCCTGGCACAAACTAATTCGTTCAGTCGCTTTGTGTAAGAGGTTTAACCACATGGCGATGAACATGATTGCCTTTCGGCATGAGGGATCGTTATATGTGGGACCCTTATCAACGGACGACCTAATGAGAGCCGAAAACGACGTCGTGAAACTAGTACAACAACAGCACTTTCTCCTAGAAACGACGGCGATAGAAGAGGGTGCACGAACGAACCCAAAACTACTGCGATCCAACGGAGCGCTCTGCCTAAACCGAACTTCATGTTGATCGGCAGGCGCGGAATCCCTAACCACATCTACTCTGACAACGGTGTACGTCAACCAATTCGCACTTGAGTGACGCGTAGCCGAAACCGATACGAATCCCGAAATAACACACGATTGATCCATAATGTTCTACGGTACTGAATTAACGAAATCATTACAAATGTACAATAAAGCAAGCCTCAAATATTCGGCCAAAAGCACCCAAGCAAGCGGGCCAAATATGATGTCCAGAGAGAGACAAACAGTCGTTCCTGTTCTCAAACCACGCGAAATTCAAATGTACCGGGCATCGAATTAACATATACATAATCATGTATGGTGTTTGTGATCGAGAAATGTCAATATAGAAGCAACACAGATAGAATTATATCACCCTGAATCGTTGTGGGTTTAGAAGGATTTTCAAAAAATCAACATGAAATACAAATGGTTCCAAATTTCTGGGCGCATCCAAAGTGCTGCAAATGTGACTGTCCCGAGTTGACCAGAGTGAATCACACAAGCGATTGACCTCCCGAGGTATTCGATGGCGCTTCAGCCCTCCGTATGCCAGCCATAATGGCGCAGTGTGTGAACGTATGATAAGGTCGGTAAGAAGAATCCTATTGATGGTATGCAATCAACAGGCCATCGACGATGAAGCCTTGAGTACAGCCCTAATCGAGGTGAAGTTCATACTGAACAGTAGACCCCTGACCCCAGTTGAGAATGAAGCCCCGTGTCTCGCACCTATCCTGAACCACCTGAAAACTCTGAGACCGAATCAAGGACTAGCATTACGGCGAACAATCATCAAATATTATTCGACCGACCGGAAACAGGCAACAAACTTGGCTGGAGTTTTCTGGAGGCGATTGGTCCGTGAGTATTTGCCTACCCTAGAATAAGATGAGTCCCAGTACAGATCCTTGAGATACTCCACTGATGATGTTCCTCAGACTGTAACTGGCACTACCTGCATTTACGCAGAAACATTGCCCACTTAGGAAGTCAGATATCCAGCTATATATCTACCACCCTATGGCCACGGCTTTCAACTTCATTAACAGTAGGCGTTAATTCACGGAGTCGAACGCCCTACTGAAGTTAAGGTAACACAACTCTGCGCTTTTGCCTTCATCGAACATGCGAGTTACTTCACCTTATCAGCACAAGAAATTGGTGAGTAAAGACCTGTTTTCAGGAACTTAAACTGAGCCGGACACAGCATAGAATGGTCTACTAAGTGCTATGATATGGGCCCTGATGATCCTTTCCAGCATTTATCAAAGGATGCTAGCCAGGCTCACCGGTCTGTAATTGCTTACATCTGACCTGGGTCCTCTTTTCTTATGGCTACCACGGCAGCTGTTTTCCAGCCCCGTGGTAGAATACCATGTTCTAGAGTTAGCTTAAATAGCTGACACAATGGTCGATCTAAGATGCCCGCCAATGGTTTCACAATGGTTGGATGAAGACCGTCAGCCAAATTATTCACATTTAAGCTCTCTACATGGTTCTTAACCATATCCCCCGTTAGATGTAAATCGTCTATAACTACTGGAGGAGTTGCCGGGTCCCACGTTATGGGCGCACCGTTGTCAGTACACTGAACACTGCTAAATTATAGACTTAGTGTGACCGCCTTGATGTTGTCGTCTGTGGCAACGGAATGTTCTTCGGTCTGCAGCGGCCCCACGCCATCCGTGAGTGCCCTTTTCGGTTGTACATAGGCGTAATATTTCTTGGGATGATCCTTGGGGCGTTTGGCCAGGCTAAACTCGTACTTGCGTTTGGCCGTTTGCACCATATCGACCGCTGCATTCCTGATGGCTGTGTAGTGCATCCAGAAATTTTGTACAATTGCCAACTTCGGTTCCTACGCTTCATGGCCTTGTCTATCGCCGCTTGCCACCAGATCGGTTTGGGCAAATGCCGTCTATGTTTCGACGGCGTGAATTCATCTTGAAGTACGTGCAGAGATTAACAATTACTATCCACAGTCCATCGATGCTGGTTCCTTCATAGTCCCAGGCTAGTTGGGATGCTCTGCTACGAAGATCTATATTCACCGGTGCAACGGTAGTGGTACCTTTCCGGATGCCGCATACGGAATGTATATCTCATGTATACATAATCGCGCATACCTAACGGTGAGAGCAAATTCGAAACGATGACATTTGTTGGTTTCTTCGTAATCACAAGATCAAGTAGTGAGCGGAAGTAGATACTCTCCTGTCCAACACTTCCAAAACACCCGTGCCAGGTAGTTAGCATGATTTCAACTGGAGCTATAGCAGCCACT